AGAGCAGCATGAATCCATCCAGCTCTTATCTTAAATAACAACTTAAAAGACACTGTTTGACCAACACAAGTCTGACCAAAATTCATGTTAAAAAAATCAAAAAATAAATAAATAAATGAAAATTAAAAAAAAACAAATGAAAACTACAGACAAAAGTTTATTTTCTCCATCATTTCTGTAGTTTACTGCTGCCAGCAGATTTTTTTTCTCCTGATAATGGCCATGTTGGCCGAAACTAGTCGAGGAAACTAAATGAAATAATAATAAAAACGAAAGAATATTAATATACCACACAATGTGTCTAAAGATTTTAATTTTTTAATATATTTTATTTTTTAAAAATATATATATATATATATATATATATATATATATATATATATATAGTTTTCTTATGTGGGAAGTGTCCCCCACCCTGTGCATAAGGCCTCGGTTAATTGTTATTGTCTTCGAAACCCGAAGAATTGGCAACACCGGGGAAAGGTTCTCAGGGATAAAACAATGGTTGATCAAAATTAATCAATAAATTTGTCCATAAATTACTACCAACCAAAGTGAGAAATGTAAGAACGCTGGAAAAACTAATTTATGGAAAGTTGTTTAAAAAAAAAATATATATATATATATATATATATATATATATATATATATATATATCATTATTTATGAGGTATTGCCATCTATCTTCCCTTCTTTCTTTCTTTCTTTTTGTCTATTTGTTACTTGATACAAGTAGAGTTTCTGATATATCTTTTCCGTCTTTCCCCGCAATTTAAACGGAATAGTCCCTTATTTATGAGATACTGGCAAGACGTAATGGTCGTTCTAACAAAGGGAGGGACAAACCGAATTATAATAAGATCACATATGGGAATACCATTCATTGTCATCTGAAACACTCATTAATCTCAGACTGTCTATTCGGTTCTGTCAGAAAACAGCCGAACTACAACAGCCCTATCTGAATTCCGCTGGGCACCTTCTGTAGCGTGATGGCACCAAAGACCATGTAGCGATTTCGATTCACATTCGATGCTCCACTGTCATGCCCCTGAGTAAAACTTAATAAATATATATATATATATATATATATATATATATATATATATATATATATATATATATATATATATATATATATATATATATATATATATATATTAATGTCTATACTCGACTGGTGTTAAAAACCCCGGATAGTACAATTTGCAAATAAAAATATATTAAAACAAGATCGGTATCTGGGGAAAACTGGGAAAAAAAAACTAAAAACAGCTGAGTAGGCCGAAAAAACCGCCCAGTGTCGTAATTTCGAGTCGAAAAAAAAAAAAAACCAATCGAGTAAAATAAGAAAAAAACGAAAAGTGCTCAATACACTAAGTAAAGCAGTGTAAAAAATCCTAGTGCGACAGGAACTACCTACCTAAGTTTCTCTCTCTCTCTCTCTCTCTCCTCCATATATATATATATATATATATATATATATATATATATATGTCATTCACTGACAGTACTGTTTCTCTGTATTACAGCTCCTCAGTGTGTTTAGACATCCGAATGCCTCAAGCCCGGATTGAAACTCAACTGATTTGGTGTCAGTCTGAGTTTCTATCACTTAGCTATCTTCATTCGACAGAGAGAAACAGCTTATTATAGCGCATTGTTTTTATGAATGTAAACAAATGCCAATCAGCCGGAGTGCTCCAATTCATTTTATTGAAGCGCTTTGCATTAAAGCAGGTGGCTGGTGTTTATAGAATTAGCCTATCACTCAATAGTGCACAATTGATTTCAAATTAATTTCTTCGTAGATTGTTTAAATATTTAGATGTTTATCAAACCTTAACCTCCCAAATATGCACGTTAAAGTAACTAAGAGTCTAAAAATTTGAATGAAACCTGTCGTGTAATTGATTGGGGTTGTTGTAACTTCTTCCTTTAATGTCGTTCTTATCATTCACCCCTTAGCCACCTATATCTAAGGACGAGACGCGTTAAATTTGAGCAACATCTAGCCGACACACTGGGGTTAAAAATAGGAAACTGAAATGATACATATGACACACTCTTATCCTCTCTCCCACCTCACTCCCTCTCTTCGTTAATTTTACGTATACTTGATGAGGTCCGTCAAAAACGTGTGAATTTCTTTTCATTTTTCATTTCAGCTTTTGGAAGTAAAGCCTGATGATCCAGAAACCTGTTAAAGGGGTTATGGTGAAATAGCTTATTACATGGAATCTTAACGTGGTCTGTTTTTTATTCAAACATATCTGCTCTGAATTTTACATTGAGCTCTCTAGATATCATCTTCCTCGGGTCTACCCATACGGATTACCAAAGTTTGCATAAACTCTATATATATATATATATATATATATATATATATATATATATATATATATATTATATGCTATATTTGTAGGTAAAAGTACTCAGTATCAGGGTAGAATGTATGTAAATATAAAAAGTGGACATTGAAGTCAACATCGAGCGGTTTATTTTTAGTTTATTTTTTATTTTTTTCTTTATTTATTTTTGTTATTTTATTTATTTATTTATGTATTTATTTATTTATTTGTTAAGTTATTCAGCGTTTCTTGTTTATCACCGAATCCTTCATACATCCTACGGAATCAATTTAAAAAACAGGTGGTCATTTTGCAACTTTAGCACACTAATTTGTTAACCACTTTCTATAGATAGATAGATAGATAGATAGGTTGATCTGAACAGACTGAGATAGATAGATAGATAGATAGATAGATAGATAGATAGATAGATGTTTGAAAGCGCCATTGTAATGCAATGGTTAAATTTATCCGAAAAACGTCTAATGTGTTCACTTTCCACCGGATGCTCCACGTTTGTGTCCGGGTACCAGGCTAAAGTAACCTTAGTCAAAAGGAGGAGGAGGAACTCTGACTTCTCCGGGCATCTTGTTGATCTCTCCAGACACTAATATTGATTTTGACCTTCATTAGAACATCAAGAATCGTCGGACTGTGTAAAACTTGACACGGTCAAAGTGAAGACCACACTCACCCTTTCTTCTCTCACCAATCCAATCCACGCCCATTTCCAGTCACCTTTGTTTGGCACCACCCCCTAAACGAATTACTTGTCTTTCCTCTTCCTTATTCTTCTTTTGATGGACGGTCAACGCCCGCCATTTTGCTTTCGCCTGCCCGTATAATAGCCACTGTTTTTGTTCTGTTTTAGCGCAGTGATTTTTCCAACCTCACCGCTGCCATCCGGACCTCCCGTTTGATCGATGCTGTTTTGACTCATTGATCTTGTTGATCTGTCGACCATAAAATTCCCACATTAACTCGCCAAACATATATCACCTTAATGGCAGCCAAGTCTACGTAGGGACTTGCATTTCTCATTCCAAGCGTGACAATTTTTTCTGCTTTTTCTACCGGACACCAAGAAACAATTCTTTTCCCGGTTTCCGGCTGGCATGACAAGTTGAAATTTATACCACGTAGCACTTTGAATTTTTATTTCAGTGATGTATTTCCTGTCAGACTGTGTACAAGTTCGTTTCGGAAAGCATTCAACCTTTTTAATATTAATTAAAATGTAGCTTACCTAGGACAATGGCATCTTACTCCACGTCAAAATAATTCCTGTGAAAACTCGCACATTTATCCTGTGGTCATTTCCACGTTCTAAAGTTATCTGTAAATTCCTATTTCGGGATTGTCATCAGCTGCATAGTAACATTCTCTTTAATCTCGTCCACGAAATTTATCTTTCATCGCCGATTTTTGAAAATCTAGAAGCTATAGGAATCTAATTGTGGATTCTGGGGTGGCAGGTGATATATTACAGTAATGCAACCTTCTTCATTTTAGTACCATGGGCTCCAGGATGTTGGTGATCATGACTCTCATTTTAAGCTCATAGCAATGTTAGTCTTTTTAATTTCACATCATTCTATATTTCGATATCCATTTAAAAATTCTCTTTAGGTAAATTAATCACTTTGTCTTTCTTTGTCCTTCCTGCCTTCCATATATCCTGTGAGTGTCAATTTTTCTAATCCTTTTTTCCTCGTTATGTGCCACAGAAATTTCCTTTTTATTCCAAGTATAAAATTTCTTTTTCTGTCCATTTTCCTTAAAAGTTCCTCGTACTCGCATGTCCCGTCCATGGTATTCTCAGTATCCCTCTGTAGAACTACATCTCTCTTGCCTGAAGTCGTCTCTTCGTCTGTGAGAAAATTGTCTAGCATTCCCTACAAATAAAGGAGGGTTGATATTGGATAACACTTCAGCATATTTTTCATTGATTCCAACATTTTCATGTCTCTTATTATACTGCTGAGTTTTTGGATGGCATTTTCTTTTCCAACACACCACTGTTGACGGCAAACACATAAAAGAAACCTCAGGACTTCCTACATAGAGTAGTAAAGGAAAGCAAGAAAAAAGGACTAACCACAAATTGTAAAAAGATATAATGTATGGTTGTTAGCAAGAGCTACGCGATGCCTTACAAAAAAGAATTGCAGGAAACGTGAAGAATATATATAAAAAATTGATGATAGATAGATAGATAGATAGATAGATAGATAGATAGATAATGAACTGCGATAGATAGATAGATAGATAGATAGATAGATAGATAGATAGATAGATAGATAGATAGATAGATAATGAACTGAGATAGATAGATAGATAGATAGATAGATAGATAGATAGATGCACGATGCCAGACATATGTATCTGATTTCTTCTTGGTTATTTCTTCTATGTGCCGTGTACTTTCAGGACGTGGGTGAACATAGGTCTCCACAAACTCCTATCATATGTCGCCCTTAGCAACGTTTGTCCATTTACGACGCCCATAAACCCCGTTCCGGCATCCATTCACAAAAGCTCGTCAGGTAGGTGGCCTTGTGCCATTCCTGTCCTTTTTGCTTTTGACATGTCCTGGCTTTGTGTATAAGTGTTCAATCTGTTTTCATTTACACATGTATGGTAATTCTTGCATCCTTCTTTAGAATAAAAAAAAACAATGGTTAATTATATCAAGATAAACTATTTTGGTTGACGAGGGCACATTTTTCTTCATTTTGACTGGCACATTTTCATGAGACATGTAATCGAATAACAAACAGAAAATATCATCTACGGATGCACATCCGTACAGTCGTGCGCATTAAGGTACACGAGAATACCGTAAGTACTAACTGTTTAGACATGCGCATTAAGGTACACGAGAATACCGTAAGTACTAACTGTTTAGACATGCGCATTAAGGTACACGAGAATACCGTAAGGTCTTTAAGGATTCAACCATATTTATTAAGGTACTTAAGAATACAGTAAGGACTAACTGTTCACACATGCGCATTAAGGTACACGAGAATACCGTAAGCACTTTAAGGGCTCAACCATGTTTATTAAGGTACTTGAGAATACCGTAAGGACAAACTGTTCAGTCATGCACATTAAGGTAGATGAGAATACCGTAAGGTCTTTAAGGGTTCCACCATGTTTATTAAGGTACTTGAGAATACAGTAAGGACTAACTTTTCAGTCATGCGCATTAAGGTACACGAGAATGCAGTAAGGACTAACTGTTCAGTCATGCGCATTAAGGTACACGAGAATACCTTAGGGACTAACTGTTCTGTCATGCGCATTAAGGTACACGAGAACACCGTAAGGACTAACTGTTCAGTCATGCGCATTAAGGTACATGAGAATACTGTAAGGTCATTAAGTGTTCAACCATGTTTATTAAGGTTCTTGAGAATACAGTATGGACTATCGGTATTTAGTCATCGGCATTAAACTACTTAAGGTTACCGTAAGAACTGAATGTTCAGTCATGCGCATTAAAGTATTGGAGAATACCGTAAGGAGTGTAAGTGTTCAAGTCATGCGCATAGGTACTTGAGAATACCGTAAGGTCTGAAAATATTCAATTATGTGTATTAAAGTACTTGAGTATACCCTAAGGAGAGTAAGTGTTCAATCATGCGCCTTAAGGTACATGAAAATACCATAAGGTCTTTAAGCGTTCAATCATGTTTAATAAGATACTTGAGAATGTTCAGTCATGCGCATTAAGTTACTTTAGATCTTTAATAGAAACCTATGTACAAAATCAGGCTAAATTTAAGCTTGATGCTAGCAACTTTGTCTCGTAAAAGTTACTTGCTCTGGGATCACAGCAGCTACGCCTAGTTTTGGTGAAAGCTGTGGCCCCATACTCTTCAGTGGAGTCTTTAGGACTAATGGGATATATATATATATATATATATATATATATATATATATATTAGGAATGGCGTTGAAAATTATTAATCCGATGTCTTTTTTATCATTTGATCTTTATTTTTAGCTGATACCCGTATTTGAATAGAATCTATTTTTATTTTTTAGACAGTAAATTTCTCTCCTTTCATCTACCAACCTATATATACGAGATTAGAAAAATATGCGCTCTCCAACAGGATTCGAAAGTGAGTACCCCTAGCGGAAACCGTCAGTAGATATGACATGCTTCAGAAATCTTGCATACGAAGAACCTACATGCCGAACAAGACCCGAATAATGCTTTTCAACACAGACCTTTCCCGATTCTAAAAATGTATATCTCTGCCCAGTTTCAAACCTTAACGTTAAAAAAGAAATATCAGGAATGGACTTTTTATTTATTAACTCGACATATTTTCATTCTTATTAAACGTTATTTTTAGTAGATACCCATATTTAATTAGATGCCGTGATTATTTATTGAACGGTATATTTATTTATTTTCATCTATCGAGAGGACGAATTCTCGTGTGCTCTCTTTATAACTGCTATTTTATATCTAAGTGGGCATTCACTCTTAAAATTAAGGTAGCAAGAGTTTTCCATAGTGGGTGTTTTATATAATGAGATGGTGAAAGTGTTGTTACTCAGTTCGTAGTTAAAGTTAAGGACAAAGATTTTCAAATGTGGTTTTAATATTATCTATTTCTTTGTTTTTCGCTAAAATAAAAATGTCGTCTATGTAGCGGACATATATTTTGGGTTTAGTAACTCGTTTAAATATCATGTTTTTTACGTGGGACATGTAGTAATTGAAGAACCATAGACGGAGCTTAGTTTGGGTGTAGGTGTTGCTATTATGGTCGTAGAAGTGGACTTTGTGCATGTATGTAACAATTTTTTGAGGATATTTGGTTTGATGAATGGAGGTGGTTTGGAATTATCTATGTACACAGAGTTAAGTATTATGTCAATAGTTTGATCAACGGGGACGTTTGTAAAGAAATGTTCAACGTCGATAGACGCTAAAATACCTTGGGTTTGTTTTATACTTTTTAGAATTTGAAGGAATTCGTGGGTTGTCTGATGCTGTAATTGGTTGGTAAGTATGGGGTAATGATGTCATTAAGGAATTTTGATAGGGATTGGGATCTGGGAAATGATTGATCTGAGTGGGTATCTGGTTTTGTGTATTTTTATATTTCCGTATCCTGATTGGTAGTCGCCGATATTTTTTTTTGATTTTCAGGGAAACAACATCGGCGTTATTCGATATTATCAGTTTGTTGACGGGTCTTTTTAAGGTCTCCATGGGGTTTCCGTTTAATTTGGTGAATGTAGATCGATCATCGATGATGTGTTGTAATTATTTATGGCAATCGGCTTTATCCAAAAATACATATCTGTTTGATTTGTCGGCCCGTTTGATGACAACATTGGAATTGTTTTTTTTAGTTTTTTTTGCGGCAATTTTTTGTTTTGTTGTTAGGATATTATTATAGCTTTTGCGAGGAGAGCGGTCTTTTAAGCCCTATGAGTTAAGGAGGCCTCTTACATCTGAAAGAACTTCTTATGACTCCACGCGCCTTGAGTTGGAGTAGTGATTGGTGTACAATTTCACTTTCGGTCTTTGTAAGGAGATCAAATTTTGATTACAATTTGGCCCTAAGTTTAAGTATTCTTTCAAGTCATCTGTTAATTTATGATTAGATAGGTCTATATCACTGCTGTTGGGTAGTAGAATATTTCCTTAGGATCGTTTACATAGTTTTTTTTATAATTATTTTTCTGTCTGTAAGTTGATATTCATTAATGTTAAGGTTGAGGTTGTTCAGTGCTTCCTTATATTCGGGTTCGATCAAGTTATTTTTTTTTTTTAGTGTCTCACTATATTTATGGATTTCGTTATTTAAATGCTGGATATCATTTTTAACTGTTTTTATTTGCCGTAAGACGAAGTCTTTTCTGAATGTCTTAGTTTTACTTTCCTTCATAGCTGCCGTGTCTTGTAGTCTTGATAATTGTGTATTTAGGCAGCAACCCCTTTTTTATACATGTTTCGTTAAAGACAACTAACAAGGTACTGCGATTAAGCTTTTTGTTTAAGTTTACTTGTGTTCGTACAAGCGTTTTCTTTTCTGGACACAAAGTGTGTAAAAACTGTTCAAAAGTTCTGCATATCCGAGAGCTTTCGGCTATTCTTTTAGACATTAACAAGGAAGATTTTAATTTTACTTTTTAACTGAATGTATGGGTTCTGTTATGCCTGCATCTAGAGTTATAGGGATGTTTTATTTTTCCAAACACAGTCGGCACAATGTCCGACAGTTTATATTCATATATATATATAGATAGATAGATAGATAGATAGATAGATAGATAGATAGATAGCCATTTATTCAAACTAAGGAAAAGGCGTAAGAAGTCTTGCGTCATTCTCCATTCAGGGGCGTAAGAAGTTTTGCGTCATTCTCCATTCAGAGGCCTGTCTGCCTTGAAAATAGATAGATAGATAGATAGATAGATAGATAGATAGATAGATAGATAGATGGATAGATAGATAGATAGATACAGAGAGACAGAGAGAAAAACCAGACTGAGATAGATAGATAGATAGATAGATAGATAGATAGATAGATAGATAGATAGATAGATAGATACAGAGAGACAGAGAGACGGAGAGAAAAACCAGACTGAGATAGATAGATAGATAGATAGATAGATAGATAGATAGATAGATAGATAGATAGATAGATAGATAGCCATTTATTCAAACTAAGGAAATGGCGTAAGTCTGTTTTGCGTCATTCTTCATTCAGTATTCTAATTCCTGGTTTTTGTCAGTGCTTTAATAGTGACCACTATAGTACCGACCTAAATTTTCTATTTCCGGTCTTGTTTGAAATATGTGCGCGCGTGTGTGTGTGTGCGCGCGCGCGCGCGAGTTTAAAACATATATTCAAATAAATAGAAATGAACTGGCACATAAAATAAATACACGAATAAATGCCCGAAATATTCCACTGTAACAATTCACACACATACACACACACACACGCGCGTGCGCGCGATTTGATATATCCCCTGCCTCCTCCTGCCAGGTATCGTAAGCAAGACTTCTAATTCGTTAAGACACAAGTAGTACAAGTGTCAGCGCCTCCCAGCGGTTGGTAGCCGTACCAATTAACTCTTGATCTTTTTAATGGCGCAATCACTCCAGCTGTGCTCCTTTTCCCGCGTCCCTCTGAAGAGCCCTGCAGTCATGGACGAAGTAGAGGAAACAAGCCAAAAAGGAAAAACCCTAAAAAATAAATACTTCTCTTTCTAATGTTCCACAGTTCTCAATTTTCATGTCTCTTTTTTTCTCTTTTATCGTTGCAACAATTTCGGCTTTTTTTCCCCTTTTTTTCTCTCTTAGACATTCCTCATGTTTGCTTAGTTTTTATTCATTTTTTTTTTTGTCCTTGGCAAACTTTCGTTCTTTTCCAAAATTTTCCCGTTATTTTTATTAAACTTTTCTTTCTCTTTCATTTCACTAATATTATATATATATATATATATATATATTCCACTTATATGACTTTCCATCTACTTATATATTACCCTTTATTTATTAACATGTATTTATTCTTTTTCACTAATTCATTTCTTATGAGTTATTTTTTTATTATTTCTTTTCTTTCTTTGTTTTTTCTCTTTATGTCTTATTTTTTATTTTCTATTTCTTGCTTCCTTTCTTTTTTCTTTCTTCCTTCCTTTCTTTCTTTCTTTCTTTCTTAATACTCCTCCTTTTTTCGTTCGTTCATTTTCTTTCTATTATTCTGTTTCTTTTTTCATTCATTTTTCACTCCTTATGCCTATTTTTCAGTATTTCTTTTTCCTTTTTAATTTATATTCTCTGTTTTTTTTCTTTTTCTTTCGTCTGTTTTTTTCTGTTTACTCTCTGACACCTCCGTTGATTCTTTCATTTTTTTCTCTTGATATATTTTCTTTATTTATTATTTCCTTGCCTCTTATGTTCTCGTCTTCATTTAATTTCTTCTTCTTCTTCTTCTTCTTCTTCTTCTTCTTCTTCTTCTGTGTCTTCGCCATCTACTTCTTTTTCTTTTTCTCTTCTCCTTTCATCTTCTTCTTCTTGTTCTCCCACTTTTTTGTTGTTGTTGTTCTTCTTCTTCTTCTTCTTTCCTCCTTCCATCTTCTTCTTCTTGCTCTCCTTCTTTCTTCTTTTTCTTGCTCTCCTTCCATCTTCTTCTTGCTCTCCTCCTTTCTTCTTCTTCTTCTTCTTCTTCTTCTTCTTCTCCTTCTTCTTCTTCTTCTTTCCTCCTTCCATCTTCTTCTTCTACTTTCCTCCTTCCATCTTCTTCTTGCTCTCCTCCTTTCTTCTTCTTCTTCTTCTTTTTCTTCTTCTTCTTCTTCTTTCCTCCTTCCATCTTCTTCTTCTTGCTCTCCTCCTTTCTTCTTCTTCTTCTTGCTCTCCTTCTTCTTTCCTCCTTCCATCTTTTTCTTGCTCTCCTCCTTTCTTCTTCTTCTTCTTCTTCTCCTTCTTCTTCTTCTTTCCTCCTTCATCTTCTTCTTCTTGCTCTCCCCTCCTTTCTTCTTCTTCTTCTTGCTCTCCTTCTTCTTTCCTCCTTCCATCTTTTCTTTGCTCTCCTCCTTTCTTCTTCTTCTTCTTCTTCTTCTCCTTCTTCTTCTTCTTTCCTCCTTCCATCTTCTTCTTCTTGCTCTCCTCCTTTCTTCTTCTTCTTCTTGCTCCTTCTTCTTTCCTCCTTCCATCTTTTTTCTTGCTCTCCTCCTTTCTTCTTCTTCTTCTTCTTCTTCTCCTTCTTCTTCTTTTTCCTCCTTCCATCTTCTTCTTCTTGCTCTCCTCCTTTCTTCTTCTTCTTCTTGCTCTCCTTCTTCTTTTCCTCCTTCCATCTTTTTCTTGCTCTCCTCCTTTTCTTCTTCTTCTTCTTCTCCTTCTTCTTCTTCTTTCCTCCTTCCATCTTCTTCTTCTTGCTCTCCTCCTTTCTTCTTCTTCTTCTTGCTCTCCTTCTTCTTTCCTCCTTCCATCTTTTTCTTGCTCTCCTCCTTTCTTCTTCTTCTTCTTCTTCTCCTTCTTCTTCTTCTTTCCTCCTTCCATCTTCTTCTTCTTGCTCTCCTCCTTTCTTCTTCTTCTTCTTGCTCTCCTTCTTCTTTCCTCCTTCCATCTTTTTTTTTCTTTGCTCTCCTCCTTTCTTCTTCTTCTTCTTCTTCTCCTTCTTCTTCTTCTTTCCTCCTTCCATCTTCTTCTTCTTGCTCTCCTCCCTTCTTTTTCTTCTTCTTCTTCTTCTTCTTCTTCTTCTTCTTTCCCTTCCTTCTTCAACGTTATTCCTTTTTTTATATATTTCCATCTCCCACTTTTTGTTTCGCAACTATCTTCAATGATTATAAATTTATTACTTCATTTTTTTATTCCTTATTTATCTTTACTTGTTTTTTTTTATTGCTGATTTATTTTAATCTTATTTATTTGAAGGTGTTGTTTCTCGCCCAGAAGCAAATAAAACAAATATGATTTTTTTAATCGTCGTACAAGAAATAAATAAAATAAACACGCTTGTGTCGGTCGTTAGTTCCAAGAATGAGTAGGGCTCTTTTTTTCTTTCTTTTTTTTTTTTTTCTTTTTTTGCTTTTTTAATTGGAGCAACTGCCAGTTACCTCCCCTTTTCGTCTTTTGGGCAGCGACCTGCGCGTAACGTGCCGCCATTACTGATTTCTTTTCATATCCCATTGCGCACCTTGTCGCTTCGAGTTACACCTGGCGTGTCTCGCTCATCTTTCATTTAATCAGTCGTCGAAAGAGGCTTCACGCAAGATTTGGCCCGACAGATGTGTGCAGCTTCTGGAGAGAAGAAAGAGAAAAAGCGCCTTCCGCAATAGATTCTCTTATCACACTCCATTTCTTCCTTCTCTTGTTTTCAATATTTTTCTTTCCACCACCGTCATGTATGTGTTTGCGCATGCGCGTGTATTTTTTCATCTTCTATGCTTACTTTCGCATATCTTTTTTCTTTTTTTCTTTATCGTCCATGTTTTCTTTACTCTCTATTTCTTTTTACTCTTCCCTTTTTATCTAACAGGATGTTCTTTTTCCTTTCCTTTTTCTTTCATTCCTTCTCTCTTTTCTGTCTTTTATTCATTCTCTCTTTTCTGCCTTTCATTCTTTCTCGCTTTTCTGTCTTTCATTTATTCTCTCTTTTCTAACCTTCATTCATTCTCTCTTTTCTGTCTTTCATTTATTCTCTCTTTTCTAACCTTCATTCATTCTCTCTTTTCTGTCTTTCATTTATTCTCTCTTTTCTAACCTTCATTCATTCTCTCTTTTCTGTCTTTCATTTATTCTCTCTTTTCTAACCTTCATTCCTTCTCTCTTTTCTGTCTTTTATTCATTCTCTCTTTTCTGCCTTTCATTCTTTCTCGCTTTTCTGCTCTCATTTATTCTCTCTTTTCTTCCTGTCACTCATTCTCTCTTTTATACTTTCATTCAGTCTCTTTTTCTATTTTTCATTTATACTCTCTATTCTGCCTTTCATTCTTTCTCTCTTTTCTGTCGTCCATTCATTCTCTCTTTTCTACATTTCATTCATTCTCTCTTTTCTAACCTTCATCCATTCTCTCTTTTCTGTCGTTCAGTTATTCTCTCTTTTCTACATTCATTCATTCTCTCATTTCTATGTTTCATTCATTCTCTCTTTTCTGTCTTTCACTCATTCTCTCTTTCGATTCTCGCTTTCTTTCTTCTTTCCGTACGTTTATGCTATTTCTTTAGTTTTTCGCGAATAATTATTTCTTTCTTTTATTCATTTTCCGTTCGTTCGTTATTTCTTTCCTTCCTGTTTTTTATTTCTTTTGTCTTTTTTCTTTCATTTTTCGTTCTATTTTCTGTTCTTATTTCCTTTCACTTTCCATTGTTTTTACTTTCGTTCGTTCATTCTTTCATTTTTCTATTCTTTTTCGTTCTTTCTTTCATTTTTCTTCCTTTCGTTCATTTTTCTTTCCTTTTACTTTCTTTCCTCCATTTTTTGTTCTTTCTTTTGTTCGTTCGTTCTTTTGTCACGTCTCTCTCTTCGTTCTTTCTTTCTCCACTAGATTTTCCTTCACTTTAATTTGATTTTTACTAAGTCTCTCTCTCACCCACTCTCTCTCACCCACTCTCTCTCTCTTTCTCTCTCTCACCCACTCTCTCTCACCTCTCTCTCTCTCTCCCTCTCTCTCTCTTTCTCTCTCTCTCTCTCTCTCTCTTTCTCTCTCTCTTTGTAGTTCCGGTCGAAAGATATTTTATTATTTCATAATTTTCCTTGTTCTCTTATGATTGCTATGCTTTCTTACTTTCGTTCTTTTTTTTTCTCCATTCATTTTTATTTGACACCTTTTCTTCCCCTCTCTCTCTCTCTCTCTCCTTCTTCACTGCTTCTCTC